TGTCAGTGGGAGTAATAGTGCCCAATTGTTGGTATCAGTGGGGGGAATAGTGTCCCATCATTGGTATCAGTGGGAGGAATAGTGCCCCATCATTGGTATCAGTGGGAGGAATAGCGCCCCATCATTGGTGTCAGTGGGAGGAATAGTGCCCCATCATTGGTGTCAGTGGGAGGAATAGTGCCCCATCATTGGTGTCAGTGGGAGGAATAGTGCCCCATCATTGGTGTCAGTGGGAGGAATAGTGCTCCATCATTGGTGTCAGTAGAAGGAATAGTGCCCCATCATTGGTGTCAGTGGAAGGAATAGTTCCCAATCATTGGTGACAGGGGGAGAAATAGTGCACCATTGTTGGTGTCAGTGGGAGGGATACTAGAGCGCCTCACCCCAGCAGTGGTGCCCACCCTGACCTTCCACCTTCCAGGCCATTGGTTTACAGAGCAGCGCTGCAAGCCTGATTTCAGCTTTTAGCCGGTGTGCGTTTTACTTTCTACACAGACAGACTTCAGGGTGTTCTATTGGCCAGGCTGAATAACAGTTTCATGACCTGTGAAGGCAGACATAAGCAGCTTTCTTCTATTTCTTTATTCCTGGCCTCGCGGCATAACGAGTCGGTTGAGACGCGGCGCGGCCTTGTCACTCTGCCCCCGCCGTGCCGCTCCCTCCTTCCCCTTCGTTATCTCCTCTCTTCCTGGTAAACACAATAAAAGTCCATTATGTGCGGAGAGGAGCCAGGCGCCTCCCGTGAAGGCGAAGATGGGAAGCGGAGGCGGTGTGTGCGTCCTTCATTACACGGAGAGCGGCGCGGCGCACACACCTCCTCGCGCGCAGCCCTCATCATTTGTTCCCGGCACCGTACTCCCTGACCCGGGGGCCGCGGCGGCGCACATTCTGATGGCTCCATTAAGGGAGCTTCAAGCCTAACGAGTCACCTGTCGCCTCGCCGCGCGCTCACACATGTCTGGGATTACAGGGACGGGTCTCCGCAGCTCAGACTCTTCATTAGCGTGCTTCTGGCGCAGCGCTCTTCATCTCGGCAGACGTCGGAGTGTGCCGCGCGTAAAGTTCCGATGATAAGTGTTCCGTGCTCCTTCCCCTCCCCCTCCTCCCGTCAGATCATCCATGCTGTGCGACGTGCAGAAGACGCCAATGTAGAAGAATCAGATCGGCTTCTTCTAAAATCCAGTGAGCCGGGCGGATAATGCGGATATAAATCTCTCCAAAATCCGCTGCTGTAGAAAAAAAAAAAATTGAGTGCCCCCAGAATGCTGAATTCACTACATTCGGCCTCCCTGGACCCTGCATTCACTATATCCGCTATCCCCGGACCCTGCATTTACTATATCCGCTCTCCCCGGACCCTGCATTCACTACAATCGGCCTCCCCGGACCCCGCATTCACTATATCCGCTCTCCCCAGACCCCGCATTCACTATATCCGCTCTGCCCAGACCCTGCATTCACTATATCTGCTCTCCCCAGACCCTGCATTCACTACAATCGGCCTCCCCACACCCTGCATTCACTATATCTGCTCTCCCCGGACCCTGCATTCACTATATCCGCTCTCCCCAGACCCTGCATTCACTACAATCGGCTTCCCCGGACCCGCATTCACTATATCCGCTCTCCCCGGACCCTGCATTCACTACAATCGGCCTCCCCGGACCCGCATTCACTATATCCACTCTCCGCTGACCCTGCATTCACTATATCTGGTCTCCCCGGACCCCGCATTCACTATATCCGCTCTCCCCGGACCCCGCATTCACTATATCCGCTCTCCCCCGGACCCCGCATTCACTATATCCGCTCTCCCCGGACCTCGCATTCACTATATCCGCTCTCCCCGGACCCTGCATTCACTATATCCGCTCTCTCCGGACTACGCATTCACTATATCCGCTCTCCCCGGACCCTGCATTCACATATCCGCTCTCCCCGGACCCCTCATTCACTGTATCCGCTCTCCCCGGACCCCGCATTCACTATATCCACTCTCCCCAGACCCCGCATTCACTATATCCGCTCTCCCCGGACCCCTCATTCACTATATCCGCTCTCCCCGGACCCTGCATTCACTATATCCGCTCTCCCCGGACCCACATTCACTATATCCGCTCTCTCCCCGGACCCTGCATTCACTATATCCGCTCTCCCCGGAGCTCGCATTCACTATATCCGCTCTCCCCGGACCCCGCATTCACTATATCCGCTCTCCCCGGAGCTCGCATTCACTATATCCGCTCTCCCCATACCCCGCATTCACTATATCCGCTCTCCCCGGACCCCGCATTCACTATATCCGCTCTCCCCGGACCCTGCATTCACTATATCCGCTCTCCCCGGACCCCTCATTCACTGTATCCGCTCTCCCCGGACCCCGCATTCACTATATCCACTCTCCCCAGACCCCGCATTCACTATATCCGCTCTCCCCGGACCCCTCATTCACTATATCCGCTCTCCCCGGACCCTGCATTCACTATATCCGCTCTCCCCGGACCCCCCACATTCACTATATCCGCTCTCCCCGGACCCTGCATTCACTATATCCGCTCTCCCCGGACCCCGCATTCACTATATCCGCTCTCCCCGGACCCCGCATTCACTATATCCGCTCTCCCCGGAGCTCGCATTCACTATATCCGCTCTCCCCATACCCCGCATTCACTATATCCGCTCTCCCCGGACCCCGCATTCACTATATCCGCTCTCCCCGGACCCTGCATTCACTATATCCGCTCTCCCCGGACCCCGCATTCACTATATCCGCTCTCCCCGGACCCTGCATTCACTATATCCGGTCTCCCCGGACCCTGCATTCACTATATCCGGTCTCCCCGGACCCGCATTCACTATATCCGCTCTCCCCGGACCCTGCATTCACTATATCCGGTCTCCCCGGACCCTGCATTCACTATATCGGTCTCTCACCACAGTACACAGAACATGGAAATGCAATTATTTTAGTAAATATAAACTGCTAAATACCTTTTCTCATCAGCTGTATATGGCAATCTTGTGGCTTCTATCAGTGTCCAGAAGAGCACTGGTCAAAGCTTGTAGGAGGAGTTTTCATTTTGTTCTAGGAGGATGCAGAATCCCTGACCCTCTGTCTGGACAGTGCTGATTGGCCCTGTGCTGATCACATGCACCCTCTCAAGAAGAAAAAAAACTCTGTAGCAATACACACTAAACTGAACATGTGCAGAATGGCTACGGGTTCAGTCTGTCTTATCAGGAGATAAGATGTGGACATTTGAACAAGAGAAGGATCAGAGAAGACAGGATCAAACAGCCTTTTTACACAATGCAGAGGATTAACCCCATAGATTCCACAGTGAGTATAACAAGCATGCTTTACTGCATCTACAGACTGATTGGACTGTTGTGGGTTTAAGTTTTATTTAATTTGGAGACTTTGGTTGAAATTAATTATTTCTGCAGTAACAAGTTCAATCATTTGGGATGTAACAAGTTTAAAGTAGATCCCGAGCTCATAGAAGTCAAAAGTCAATCCTTTCCTTGACCACCAAAAAGATTTACCCCCTTCATGACCAGGCCAATTTTTTTGCTATTCAGCACTGTGCTACTTTAACTTTGTCAGTTGCGCGATCATGCAATGCTGTACCCAAATGAAATTTGCATCATTTTTTTTGGTGGTAGTTAATCACCACTGGGGGTTTTTTTTTTTTTTATTATTATTATTATATAAACGAAAAAAACAGAAAATTTTTTGGGAAAAAAATATTTAAAAAGACATATTCAATAAAAACAAATATTATACACTATATTGCCAAAAGTATTGTCCCCGCCCTCCCAATCATGTGATTCAGGTGTTCCAATCCCCTTCATGTGGAGGTGTTCCAATCCCCTCCCAATCATGTGATTCTGGTGTTCCAATCCCCTCCCAATCATGTGATTCAGGTGTTCCAATCCCCTCCCAATCATGTGATTGAGGTGTTCCAACCCCTCCCAATCATGTGATTCAGGTGTTCCAATCCCCTCCCAATCATGTGATTCAGGTGTTCCAAACCCCTCCCAATCATGTGATTCAGGTGTTCCAAACCTTTCCCAATCATGTGATTCCAATCCCCTCCATGGACACAGGTGTATACAATCAAGCCCCTAGGCATGCAGACGGCTTCTACAAACATTGGTGAAAGAATGGGTCGCTCTCAGGAGCTCAGTGACTCCAAGCGTGGTCCCGTGATAGGTGGCCACCTGGGCAATAAGTCCATCCGTGACATTTCCTGGCTACTAAATATTCCACGCTCAACTGTTAGTGGGATTATAACAAAGTGGAAGCAACTGGGAACAACAGCAACTCAGCCACCAAGTGGTAGGCCACGTCACAGCGTGTTGGTGCAGTATGTGGATGATCTCCTGTTGGCTTCATCAAGTCAACAGGCCTCTGAAGAAGATTGTATTTCCCTGATGAACTTTTTGGCAGGTATTGGACAAAGCGTAGATGCCACAAAGGTTCAGTACCGAGGTCATTGCATTTCACAAGGAATTAACCATTTCCATACCGGGCATTTTACCCCTTCCCCCCCAGGCCATTTTTCAGGTTTCAGCGCTCTCACATTTTGAATGACAATTGCGCGGTCATACAACATTGTACCCAAACTAAAATTTTATCATTTTCTTCACACAACTAGAGCTTTCTTTTGGTGGTATTTAATCATCGCTGGGGTTTTTTTATTTTTTGCTAAATTAACAAAAAAAGCCCAAAAATTTTGAAAAAAAAAACACGTTTTTCTTTGTTTCTGTTATAAAAGTTTGCAAATATATAATTGTTCTTCATAAATTTAGGCCGAGATGTATTCTGCTCCATGTCTTTGGTGAAAATAACCCAAATTAGGATGTATTTTTAGTTTGTAGGAAAGTTATAGAGTTCACAAACTATGGGGATAGATCTGAATATTGATCAATCCTGAAGTACTGACAGCCAATCTAATTTCTTCAGGTCCAAGAATGTCAGAACAGTACAGATAAGAATGTCAGAACAGTACAGATATCCCCCAAATGTCAGCACAGTACAGATACCCCCCAAATGTCAGGACAGGACAGATATCCCCCAAATGTCAGGACAGTACAGATATCCCCCCAAATGTCAGGACAGGACAGATATCCCCCAAATGTCAGGACAGTACAATATCATGTCAGGACGGACAGATATCCCCCCAAATGTCAGAACAGTACAGATATCCCCCCAAATGTCAGAACAGTGCAGATATCCCCCAAATGTCAGGACGGTACAGATATCACCCCAAATGTCAGGATGGTACAGATATCCCCCCAAATATGTACAGATATCACCCCAAATGTCAGAACAGTACAGATATCCCCCAAATGTCAGGACAGTACAGATATCCCCCAAATGTCAGAACAGTACAGATATCCCCCCAAATGTCAGAACAGTACAGATATCCCCCAAATGTCAGAACAGTGCAGATATCCCCCAAAATGTCAGGATCAGAACAGTACAGATATCCCCCAAATGTCAGAACAGTACAGATATCCCCCAAATGTCAGAACAGGACAGATATCCCCCAAATGTCAGGACAGTACAGATATCCCCCCAAATGTCAGGACAGGACAGATATCCCCCAAATGTCAGGACAGTACAGATACCCCCCAAATGTCAGGACAGTACAGATATCTCCTAAATTACCCCTTTTTGCAGAGTAGACAGTCCGACGTACTTCATAAGAGGCATGGCGAGTTTTGTGAAGTTGTATTTTTTTTGTCATAATTTTTCGGAAAATTAAAAAATTAAAAAAATTATTTTCACTATTTTTTTTTACATACTGTCACCAGTGCAGTACAGCGTCATCATATAACTGGCATGGCGGTGATCAGGGACACTGACTGGTGACAGTATGAAAAAATATATATATATATATATTTTTTTTTAAATTAATTTTAATTATTTATTACATTTATTTTCTTTTTTTTAACATTTTTTTTTATATTTCACTATGTCCAAAGTAGTACAATGTTACCATAGTAACATTGTACTACTTTGGGGAAGTGATCAGTATTTTTTTTACGCAATTTGTTTATAGCAAAGAATTACTTACTATAAGCAAGCATTTACCTGAATGACATCGATTCATGCAGGCGCTTTTTTTTTTTTTTTTTTGTGCTTAACTGTGATTTGGCCACAGCTAATCACATGACATGTGCATGTGATCACTATGACCATTCACAGCTAGACACTAGTATACAATGGATGGCATGAATGAAGCCATCCATTGTATACAACTGTCATGTGACCTGCTGTGATTGGTCACAGCAGGTCACATGGTACCGACAACGGGAGCCGGTACTCAGATCTGTCATCGGCCGTGACCGAGGTACACGGCTGGTGACAGATCGTGCCGCTGCGAGGCTCTGCAAGCTCAAAAACTGCGCATGCCCGGGAGTACGCCATATGGCGTCCACCCGGAAATCTACAGCATTTTGCCGGCCCCCAAATGGCTATTGGTTAAACGTCTTCTTGGGGTTAGTGGGGTACTGCAGGCAGTTTTTGCCCCAGTATTCCACTATCGTTGGGCCTTTGTAGGATCTGTTGAAGGTCACACCAAGAGTAGCTGCAGGTCTACAAGTGAAGAAATAGCCCCAGCAGTGAGGAAGGCTTTTAAACAAATTAAAAACTAACAGTACCAGCTCTTGGGCTGCTAGGCAGATATTGAAAGCCCCCCTTGGACTACATGGAATATAATGGTCCAGTGGGGGGGATCGGCCCCATGGAGAAATGATTACTTTGTGTGGAGCCTTCCTTTGTTTCGGGATCATAGGCAGAATTTCAAGGTCTGTGGGTGCTTGAACAGACAGAATGTTGGGTAGAATAACAGCAGAGTGCTGAATTTCAGTGCCGTACATTTCATCCATCCCGGTGGGCGAGCGCCAAGAGGCGTTAAATAAAAATGGCATTTTTGCTGATATTAGGCGTTCTTCCCAAACCGTCCTAATCACAGAAAATACTTTTTATTGGTGTAATAAGGAAGAGGGAGAGCGCGGCGGCCTTCTCCCCGTCTGTGATATAATGGATGTTTTTAATAGCGCGGCCTCTGGCAGAGGTTTATTTCCGAGTTGACCGCACGGCGCAGACATGAGTAATGAAGACCCCCGCGCTACGGCAGCATGAATGCAGCTGCTGGGAAGCCACGGCGGTGCTGGAAGATGAAACCGTTCGAGAACCCGGGAGGTCAGGAAGTGCGAGTGCATTAGATGCTGACCACCTTCACCCCTCCGCTGAGAGCTCGCTGCTATTAACGCCGTATATCAAGGCGTACAAACAACGCCGTAACGCACAGGACACCGCCGTGCATGTAACTCAGAGAAGAAATCGCCATTTATTGCACTGGTCCAGTGAAGAGAAGCTGGGGAGGCGACGGGTCTCTATTTCTGCGGGCAATTTATCACAAATTGTAATGTTTCCAGCAATGCCGGCACAGCCTGTATCATCCATTTCACCCAGAGATAGCCATGCAGTTTTGAGTGGAATGCCTAAAATTTATATTCAGTGCTGTACAGAGAACACTGAGCCAGTCCCATCAGTCTCTGCACCAGAGGAGCTTACACTCTGATGTCCCCCACCCATCAGTCCCCACGCTCATGTCCCCTCCCCCAAAGTCACATCAGTCTCTGCACCAGAGGAGCTTACACTCTAATCAGTCACATCAGTCTCTGTACCAGAGGAGCTTACGCTCTAATGTCTCTGTACCAGAGGAGCTTACGCCCCTCCCCCACAGTCACATCAGTCTCTGTACCAGAGGAGCAACACTCTAATGTCCCCTCCCCCAAAGTCACATCAGTCTCTGCACCAGAGGAGCTTACACTCTAATGTCCCCCCACAGTCACATCAGTCTCTGCACCAGAGGAGCTTACACTCTAATGTCCTCCCACAGTCCCATCAGTCTCTGTACCAGAGGAGCTTACACTCTAATGTCCCCATGTCTTATACTGCCCCATGCCTGAAAATGCTTCGGCAATGTGATGGCAGAGGAAATTAAGTCTCTTCCTAGGAAGGCCCTGGAGAGGAGGGTTGTTGAATCCACCATTAGTGATCCATTTTCCTTGAGGGATTGCCCAGGCCGGTTATGAGGGAGGGTCTGCGTTTGATGAATCTGGAGAGAATCCCTTTAAAGTTTCAGGATTGGGCCTGGCTCTCGTTCCATGGCAGACTCTATGTGAAGGGTAACCTGAAGCATCGCTCTGCGGAGAACCGTGGTTGTCCAAGAGTGGAGTGCGGTGGGGTGGAGGAGACGATGGACCATTTCTTGCTTCAGTGCCCCTTCAATATAGAAGTCTACAAGCGGGTGGGTGGGGCTCTGGGGATCCCTTTCCTTTCCAGCTTGTGTTACATGGAGTGGTCTTACGGAGCCTTTCAGACTCACCGGGACTTTGCTTTTGAGACACTTTTTCTAGTTAGCTTAGTAGTCCGTTACTACACGTGGAATGTACGGTGTCAGGTTTCCATTCGCAAAAAAGTCCTTCCTGTCGAGGTGGTGGTGAACAACATTCTGGGTGAGGTTGGGAAGATTTGGGCGGCCGGGAGCCTGGCATGGAGGAATGTCAGGTCCCCGTAGCTGCTGTCTGTCAGTCTCTGGGGGCGTGTCTTCTCTCTCTGTCCTTTCACGTCCCCTAGATTTTTGTAAGATCAGATTTTTGAAGAAAGGCTGCATGCATGGGATCAATGTATGGGATCAATGTGTGGGATCAGTGTATGGGATCAATGTTTCATCGTTTCTTATCCTGAGGGGGGGTTTAGGTGACGGTCGGGTTGTGTTTTGCATAATTTAGTAAGTTTTCAGATAATTAAATTATGTTTCTTTGTATATAGTTCTATTTATGTTATTTACAGAAAAAAAGCCATTTTCTTTTCTGTTATTTGCTGATGTAAGCTTGTTTGGTTTTGTTTATTTAGATAGATATATATTAATTTTTATTTTTTTTTGTATATATGTAAATATGCTTTTATTAATAAGCTGTATGTTTGCAAGATTTTAAATAAACAAAAATGTACACTCTAATGCCCCCCCACAGTCACACACTATCATTGTTATTATTATATATTTATATAGCTCTGACATATACCGCAGTGCTGTACAGAGGACACTGAGCCAATCACATCAGTCTCTGTACCAGAGGAGCTTACACTCTAATGTCCCCTCCTCCCACAGTCACATCAGTCTCTGTACCAGAGGAGCTTACACTCTAATGTCCCCTCCTCCCACAGTCACATCAGTCTCTGTACCAGAGGAGCTTACACTCTAATGTCCCCTCCCCCACAGTCACATCAGTCTCTGTACCGGAGGAGCTTACACTCTAATGTTCCCTCCCCCACAGTCACACACTATTATTATACATTTACATAGCTCAGACATATACCGCAGTGCTGTACAGAGGACACTGAGCCAGTCACATCAGTCTCTGCACCAGAGGAGCTTACACTCTAATTTCCCCTCCCCCACAGTCACATCAGTCTCTGTACTGGAGGAGCTTACACTCTAATGTCCCCTCCCCCACAGTCCCATCAGTCTCTGTACTGGAGGAGCTTACACTCTAATGTCCCCTCCCCCACAGTCACATCAGTCTCTGTACCCGAGGAGCTTACACTCTAATGTCCCCTCCCCCCACAGTCACATCAGTCTCTGTACTGGAGGAGCTTACACTCTAATGTCCCCTCCCCCACAGTCACATCAGTCTCTGTACTGGAGGAGCTTACACTCTAATGTCCCCTCCCCCACAGTCACATCAGTCTCTGTACCCGAGGAGCTTACACTCTAATGTCCCCTCCCCCACAGTACCATCAGTCTCTGTACTGGAGGAGCTGACACTTTAATGATATTTCACAGAGAAGTAAATGAAATGCACAGATGATATAACGATCAGAAATGCATTTTATTGGTTTATTTTACTTGATGACTTTTTGTTTCTTTTTGTAGAATATAAATTGATGCTTTCGGTGTGTTTTCTTGAATGAATTTCACTGTCTCTAGGAATTGTATGAAATGTCAGAAGGTAATCTTTCGCTGTTCTCTTTCAGTTGCCCCAGTGGTGGAGCCAAAGTTTCAGGACATCCGGCAGGCGATGAAGCGCAGCGTGTCGCTGCGGTGCAACATGCTGAAAGGGAGCCCGGTGAAAGTGGCCACCGCCGTCTGGAGGTTCAACCGGAATCTTCTCTCTGGTCCCGCCATAGAACAGCAAGAATATTCTGAGTACAAGATACCCAGCATGAGCCAGGATGCCAGCGGCACCTACGAATGTACCATCTCTAACGATGTGGGCTCTGACACCTGCGTCTTCCAGGTGACCGGTGAGTCGGGAGGCAGTGTTGTCTTTCTCCTTACAAGATGGATTTTATGTAGCCAA